TTTTTTTTAAAATAAGTTAATTGTAAGAAAAAATAAGAACATGAAAAACTACTGATGATATTATCTTCAATAGACTTTTTTCCGTTTACTATTACAGTTGTGAAAAAAAAAGATAATGCTTACTTTTCTTAACGACAAAAATAAAACATAAATCTCTCTTTTTCTTCGTATATCATGTAAGCTAATAACCAGCTTTTCTCCTTAGTTTTTCTTTCTCTATGTCTCGTTTTTCTTCTCTTTCTTTTTATAGATGATTGTCTTTCTTGTTCTTTCCATATGGAATGTCTAACATATAGAAATCATTTTATATAGTAAAGAGGTCAAGCGAAAGAAATCAGTAACAATTTTAAATTATATTAAGAAAAAACAAATAACTCATCCAAATTTTATCTATCTATATCTATAGATATATATATGCATGATTATGTGCTTATAGTTCATGTTTCAGTAGATTAAATTGTTAGCGCCATATGGTTTTTTTTAATGTCATACCCTAAGAACTGACAGCAGAAGAAGAAGAAAAACTGAAGTCTCAGTCATTTTCGACGCCAATAATTATTAGAATATAAATGAATAAAGATTTTTAAAATAATTATTATAGAGAGCGAAAAAGAATATTATCACTATGTAATACCGATGTTATATATATATTTTATATAGATATATAAAGACACGCGATGAGTATAGAAAAATGATCTGCCTTATAATTATGCAGATATAGTGTACTTTACATCGTGATAGCTAATAAGGCGAGTATTACAATAAGAAATAAAAGTAGAAGAAAACAACCTTCTCACCTATTTTATTTATTAAAATTCAAAAACAAAAAAAGATTTCATTGTAACACACCTACATTTACTATAAAAAGAAATGTAATTTATAATTAAGTTCATAAATATATTGTAGGTTTTTTTTTGCTTCTCAAATAACGTCGTTGAGTGAAATACACTTTAAATAGACGACATTTGATTGATTTCGATTCGAAAAAAATATCATGATAAAATATGAGAAACAATTAAAAAATTATTCAGGAAGAGCGAGAACGGATGTCAGCGAAGAAAACGAGGCAAAAGATTGTCGTCTAGAACTAACTAAGCTTTTTAAGAAATCTTCTTAAAGAAAAAAGTGTTAATTCAAAGAATGATAATTTTTCAAATGACGTTTCCATGGATGTTTATGACTATTGATTTTTATATGATGTAGTTCATTATTTATTTGACGAAAAACAGATGAAATATTTTGATGATTATCATATTGAATTTTATCCAAAGATAATTCTAAAAAAAGATTAAGATAAAAAAATTTTTTGTTTTGTTTTTGAAATATCTAAAATAACTTTATAAGAATAGTTGTTTTCATATTAAATGACATGATGATAAGAAATCAACATGACACTTTCAGTCTAATGTACATTAATATGTTGAAAACGTCTGTCTGTCAGGAAAACTAAACACATGATAAGAGTAATTATCAAATACAGATTCTTAAATTCATATAATTCAGTTAAAACTTTGGCGATATATATTGTAATATTTTAACATAGAAGTTAAGATTAAAGATATCGATTAAAAAATGCAAATGATCAATATGACATATGTCATTATTTATGTAGTAAATAACTTCTATGTTGATTAGTTTATGATGTTTGCATAAAATTTTCCAATATATCGACAGAAGGATATATTCAGTAAGATAAAAGTTCAATCAGTCAAGTTCATTATATGATATGAAAATCATTCATGCACTATTTATGTATAAAATAGATGCTCTAAGAAATAATAATGAAGTACATTTTGTTTAGAATGTTGACACATCGGGCATGCTGATGTCTAGGTACACTTTATTTTTTTATTTAATAATAGGAAAGGAATATTTATGGATGATTTTAAATGTTGTCACGCTCTATTTAAGCAGAACTAAATGTAGTTATACACGTCGCTTTACCAATAGAAATCAAAATGTAGGTTGAATAACTGAATATTTAGAAAACAGACTTACTGATCTCAAGAAACAAGAATATTCTACAGTATATTGTTTTTGTATTTTTTTCTGGCTATGCTGATACTTTAATTAGTCATGTATCTCATATTATACTATATTATTAAAAATCCTCAGGTTCTCAAAAAAGGACATTTGTACTGAAAAGAAAAAAATATCTATCATGATATAGTGTCGACAAATGTACACATAATAGCAGTTAGAAGTCATGCTGCATATATGTCAAATGTTACACTTGTCAAAGACAAAAAAGTATTGCTTGAAAGTTCAAGTCAATAAAGAGTTAACAGTACTTTTTTTATGTCTTATGTCTATTTTGTTAATCAGTAAACGGAACTGTAATGTAACATTTTTTTTCCTTCTGGTATTTTTAGATAAAAATAGAAATGCCAGTTGACGTACATCTTCATATAACATGTCCTTATACAAATGAGCTTATTCGGAATGTTCTTGAAGAAGAAAATGGTTTATTTACTTTAACAAATTCATCGAATTCAACTAATAATGATATATTATATTGGCTGGAATACGAAGAAATCGATTTTGATACACTCTTTCGTCAAGCGAGAGATTCAAATAATAATACGAAAGTTTTAGCCAATTCATATTGTATACGAAAAGGTTTAATACGTAAGGCTAATTTTGCAATGTTTATACAAAAATATTTAGCAAAAGTGATAAAAATATAATAATAATTAATATTACTATATAATATTTTTTTCGTACTTTTAGAAACCAGACGCCATCTTACGTAACCATTATCCTGAAACTCACGTACTAGATTTATGTCATCCAGATTATCTCGAAGAAGCACTTAATGAAGCATTTGAATTGCGTGATGCTTTAGAAGAAAATATTCAAGGAAAAAATGAACCCATTCCTTTTATTCTTAAAGCATCGATTTTAGATAAAGCAAGTGAATTATGTATTTTTCAAACGCAATTAGAATTAGAAGAATACTTTACAGCTAAATATGATGAAGAAGAAGATGATGACGATGAAGGTAATAGTATAGCTAATGTACGAGAATGGATTGTTCAACGTTATATAAAAAATCCTAAACTTCTTTCAACATATCAAAATCGTAAATTTCATTTACGTGTTTATGTTGTTGCTGAAAGAAATCTTCGTATCTATGTTTATGATGGTATTTTAGCTTTATTTGCATCGTTATCCTATGATGAAAATGATAATCAATCATTTGATCGACTTCGTCATATAACAAATACATGTGCACAAATCGATACGAAATTAAAAGAAGATGATTTAGTAAAGGAATTTTTTACATTAGAAGAAGTTAATGATGATATACGTTCAAATATATTTGAACAAATCAAATTAATTCTTAATGATATTTTTACTGGTCTTCATAATGAAGTAACAATATTTCAACCATTAAAAAATGCTTTTGAAATCTATGGTTTTGATTTTCTTATTGATGAAAATAATCAAGTTTATTTTCTTGAAGCAAATGCTTATCCAGATTTTAAACAAACAGGAAATTCATTAAGTATATTAATAAAAGAATTATTTCAAAATATTGTTCAACAAATTATTCTACCATATTTTGGTTATGAACAATCGAAAAAAGATCTTCAATGTCAACTTCATCTCGTTTATGATAAACAAAAGATTATTTAGAGAATAACACAAGTCTTATGTTTTTTATTATCTGTTTTTTTTGGTTTATGTTTTTTTGTTAAAGTTTTCGTTTTGAAAGTTACATTTGATTTCGGTTGAGATGGTCCTACAAATATGAAAAAAAGAATAACGATTTATTTTTTAACTCAGGGAAAGATGGGAATAGATATTAAACACTCAAATTATATACCTTACAAAATTATAAATCGATCACGACTGACCTTTGACAGTTGATGATGGAGTTTGTTTGATATTACTACCAGCAGGAATTTTTTTCGAAATATTCAAATTATTTTTTTTTGGACTATTCAAACGTTGCACTGATTTCGTAGTAGAACTTTTTAATAATTCAGGTGAAGGTATTGGAATAAATGCTTCTTTACTAATTTTTGGAGTTAATTCAGAGGCCACGGATGATGAGGATGAAATAAAAGTCGATGGAATGTTCTATATAAAAGAATGATTGATTTATTAGGTGTTTAATGTATTTACATACTTCAGATATGGTTGATGGCATTGTTGAAATAGGTGTAAATTTTTTTTCTTCTATTTTATTAACCTTTGTTGGTATATTTATCGGTTGTTTAGGACGTATTTCTTCTGAATGTGCTTTAATTTTTGGTAATGCATATTGAGCGATTTTTTCACGTTTATAAACTTTATTACGATAATCAAGGAAGTTTTCTAACGCTGTACATCGATCCAATTTTCGATAACGAATATATGATTCGAGAGTATCACCTATGATTTCATATGCATACTAGAAAAATTATCTTTGATAGAATTTATGAAAAAAAATAGATTTTTACACCTCGAGATCTAATTTTCCAATGTTAGTGTTAATTGCTGGTAAACATTTTTTTCCAGATCGATCATATGCTCTTTCGAGTAATTTACTAGAAAAACCAAATATTTTCCCATACATTTCATGCTCGTATAATTACATATGAAATTTATCAGAACGATAATTTGTTTCTAGAATTTCATTTGGAATTATTTTTATTTCAGTATCTGCAGATTGATTTTCATCGTAAGAATAATATCGTTTATGATCTGAATGAAATCTTGGTAATAATATATTGTCATTGAGAAGAGTGCGAGAATTAAATCTTGGTAACATGTGTAACGGTTGTATATTTTTGTCATGACTATTATACATTGATTCGAAAAATAAAAAATAAATAAAATGTAACTAAGGCGTTTTTTTTCCTATAGAAAACTTAATTAAATTTACAGTTGTTATTTCTGTCTACTATTCTATCTTACGCATGGTTATAGACTTAATTTGATAGCTATCGTATAAATTACCTAATAGAGTTTGTTTAACTGAACATTACATCATTGAATTGAATTCATGATTATACATATATTTATGCGGGTTTTTTTCCGTCATCATCAAAACGAAAAATAATAATAATAATAATAAACAACAAAACAACAACAAGCAAAGAATCGGAAAAAAAACCATGGCAAAAATGAATATTAAGAGTAATACTAATAGTTGGACATATATATATCTTATCCAGAGACAGAAAAGAAATGAATTCACATATAATAATGCGACACAAGAGAAGAAGAAGAAGAAGAACAAAAAAAAAGAAAGAATCACAATATGCAACGAAATTAAGTAATCAGTCTATCAGCAGTAGATTGGAAAAAACGGATTGATCACAGATGAAAATTCATGTAACATAAGTTTATTTTTCTGTTGTTTCACTTTCAGTTGTTACTGCTGTAGTTTTATCATTTGTAGATGTTTGTATACGACATATACGTTTTACTTTTGCTCGATGATTTTTAAACCATAAACGTATATGTTTTGTTTCAAGTTTAGGAAATTTTGTTCGATATTCTCCTTCATTTAATTCCGAACAAATACGTTCAATTAATAAATGATCAGGATGTGTTTCAATAGCAAACCATTGTTCTAATTTCGGTACTTCACTTGTTGGATCAATAAATATACGATTTCGTCGCGAACGATTATAATCAAATGTTGTTAATTTTGTTGAATTCATTGTTAATTGTGTTGATGGTGATTGTTCATTACTAATTAAACTTCCATTATCATCATCATTACTTTCATCTGAATGTGTTGCTTTTTGTTTCTGTTGATCAGTTAATGATATATCAAATGCTTGTAAATAATTAATATAATAACTATTTTGTTTTTGATTATTATCATCTGTATCATCCATAAGATCATCATCAGCATCATCATCAATTTCATCGGATGAATCAAGTTCACATTTGGTTGTATATTCTTGTATTGACGTTGTTTCCGATGGTAAAAATCGACGTTTTTTTCGTTTAAGTGCAGCACGAGCATTTTTAAACCAGTATTGAATATTATAAGGTTCTAGTGCTTTTTTACCTAAATTTAGGAAAAAAATAATGTGTTGTTTTTTGTTAAATAATAAAATACAGACCTTTACGACATGGTAATGCATTGAGAGTTTCACATATTGATGCAATTTGATAACGTGTTGGATGTTTTGTATCAGTAAATATTTGTAATAAACGTGGTGTTTCTTCATGTGGATCAAATGTAGTACGTTCACGTTGTCGTCGATTTGATGGTGATGAATCATATTGTGGTTGACTTAATGATAAAAGACTAGCAAAAGTATTTGAATAATGTATATTTGGTTTTAATGATGATGAACAAGGTTTTTTTGATAGATTTAATGGAATATTATCACTAAAAAAAAGTACAATTAAGAATGAAAAATTTTCATAATGTTTTATTACCCGTCAGTAGTATTAGAATTTGATGAATAACCATTTGGACTTTGTTCATCATCATATTCACAATCATTTTTATCTCGATCATCACTGACTAAAGATAATGATTGTTTAAATAAATGATTTGATCGTTTATCCTCACAAGAATTTGAATATCTTCAAAAAAAAAAAACATTTTCTATAAAAATGTATTGAATTCTTTTTTTCTGCTTACTTTGATATACGAATTTGTAATACTGCAATATTCATAAGATCACCTAAAATATCTTGAACAGTAACTGTACGATCTTCAGTAACTGTATCAATTGATAATGGATTCCAATTTTTAATTAAAATTTCACCTAAATAATAAATAAAAATTATTCATCTTATTATTTAATTTGTTTTTTTTGTCTTACCAAAGATTCTTTCATCTTTGTCTATTTTACCCATATCAGCCTCCATACTTCGTAAAACAACGGAAACAATATCGTGAAATTTTGTATGTGCTGGGATAATCACAAAACCATCTTGTAATACACGTTGTGGACACTCATCTCGTGCAACCACACAGTGTATTGGTAGAAATTTATTATTTAACGCCAGACCTAAAAAATAATAATAATAATAAAAGAAAAACGAATGAATTTTCACACATTTATTTTATTTGAAACAAAAAAAAAAAGAAAGAATGTGTTAAGAGGTGTTCTGATGATTGAACATATTTTATTTCCCTTAAGCAATGTATTACCTGCATATAATTTGTCTAAACGACGTGAAACCATTTCTTTTTTATGAAAATTCTTTCAAAGGACTGTCTGTTTGTTGGAGGTTTTTTTTTCAATTAACAAATCCTTTCGCTACTTCTTGCTCTTCGCGCTTCAACGAAGAAGAAGAAGAAAAAGAAAGATATGATACACGAAAATGATCGGGGGGAGACCTCTTCCTTTTTTCTCTTTCGCTTTTTCTTTCCTATTACAACCAATCAATTGACAACGAACATATCGTCGTTTTGTAAATCACACCGTTTCAATTCTCAACATCATTTTTATTAGTCAATATTTCGTAACACACAAGCTGCACTGAACCGAAACAACCAACCAATACACAAGCGCAAAAGAGAATGAGTGAAAACCTTGTCAATGAATCAATAAGGACATATTACTATGTCGTCTTCCTATGACGATAATTTTTACCAATTGCGTTTTTTTTCTACATTATATTGATAAGTGATTATTGCAATAAAACAAGATATCAATCATTGCCTATGTTCGTGTTCTTTTCTCCTCTACATTTTTGCTGAATAATTTGTTTTATCTTGATTTCCTCTCGCTCGCGTTTTATTGCACAACGTTAGCCAAGCGTAACCATCCTACTATGTATATACATATGAGCTAACATCCAATCATACGGATGCATTAAGAAGAGAGAGAGAGGGAGAGAGAGAAAAGACACTACTAAGCAAATTGACAAATGTCGTAAAGTCTTTCTTTTTTTCCTATTTTTTTCAACAATGGTTTGATCTGTCAACATATGCTTCCGTGTCTTAAACCAATAGGGCAAATAATGCACCTCCAGAAATATGCACACAATTGCTTTACTCAATTCTCTCGTTAAAGAGATAAGTAATGCTCGATTCAATTTCACTAGTTGTTTCGCCTCATCCACTATGATGAGTAACAACTGTTGTTTAGTAATAATAGCTTCTCAATCGTTATATCGACACCCAATAAAACTTCAATGCGAAAAAAAAACAGAAAGCAACAAAATTATATATATATATAGCTATATATATATATATACACACATACATACACTCACTTGCTGAATTGAGCCGGCCAAGTGACATTTTGATAGTTGAGAAAGAGTGAGGTTAAGCTCTATTTTACCTTTTTAAAAAGTGTTAATCACAATGGCAAACAACCTATATACACTGCAATAGCAACCATGATTTCGAAATGAAGATGAAGCCGGCTGATGCCATTCTCTCTCTCTCTCCCTTCTTCTCTCTCTCTCTCTATATATATATATCGTCTAGAGTCTTGAATAAAAATAAGAGGAGAGAAAGAGAAGAGTATTTTAACTTAAGTTGTCATACGGATGCATTATTCTCACTTTTTTTTTAAGAGAAAAGAAAGAAAGCGAGTCGGAGTAATAAAACGCAATCGAAGAGAGAAAAAAATTGAACGTTTCAACCTAACGCTCGACGATTATCCCAACAACAACATTATCGTATATAACTGACGCTGAGAATGAGAAGGGGGAGACGGAAATGTGCTTGAAAAAACTTTGAAAAAGTGGTAATAGTAAAGAAAAAGTAAACGCAAAATGTTTGAAGGATTTTCTCTTTACATTTTCTTTCATTTTAATTTGCAATTAAAGATAGTAACTAACGCATACCCATTTATATATTCTTTAGTCGGAAGACATTAAAAAAATGAATTTTCATTTCGAAGACACTTATGTATAGAGCATAAGAAGAAAAATAAGAATAATTTAACATAGTCACAGTTATAAAATCCTAGTGTATGTTAATCATAGTGTAAAAAGTTAATGGCGGAAATATATGATAGGAAAAAAAGCGGTAAAAATGTCTGTATATATCAGCACTTTAGCAATAAAAAGTATAACTTTGAAAGATTAAAAACACGCAATATTATTTCTCAAAGAAAGAGATGAACATTACAAATGAAAACGACAGACCAAACTCTCGACTTAGTTCTTTTTTTTTTTATATTTTTTTATTCTTACTTCCTAAATTATTCAAAATGCCGCGCACACATACACGCACGCTTACTTGCTGACAAACGATCTTTACTTTTTGATTTTGTATGCAAGCCAGTAGCGAACGAGGATTACCTGAAAAAAATTTTATGACAACTACTTGACCGAAAAAAAAACAGCTAAACGAAACAAATGGTACCATCAACATCAATCCACTAAGCTCGTAAATATTATAGACGACAACGATAAAAAAAATGAAGAGAGAGAGAGAAAAAGACAGAGAGGTGGTGATTAACCTTCTCTACTCACTTGCGCATTTGCTATCGTCGTGGATGGATGGATTACTTGAAGCAGAGGCAGAAGGAGAGACGACGATGATACTTCGATTTCCATTCATATGAGAATAAGAAAGAAAGGAAAATCGCAGGATACATATACGACTCAAATCAATAGAAGAAAGAGATTAACTTTTTTTTTAAAGACGACAATCTGGCGCATGTACCGTGTATATGTGCACAAGCACTGCTGGTGCTCGTCATTCAAATTGTAAGAAAATAAATGAGAGCGAATGTCATCGATATAAGCTACACAAAGAAGAAGAAGAAGAAAAAAATGAAAAGAAATAATTAAAGGTGGTCACTTGTTCTAGTCGCTTGATTGATTTGCTTCAATTTGTTCGACATGACAAGAGTGATCTGACATATACACACACTTATTCTTTTGTTAATTTTTATAGCAACAACTGGTGCATATCGTACATGTGTACAAGAGACTTATTTTATATCGAAATATTTCGTATTTTGTAAAAAAGAAAAAAAAGAGATACTGTATTGAATAAAAAGTAACATCTTTATGATGTAATCTCTTTAAAATCTACCTTTATACATGCCAATCCTTGTCCCTTTCGTATTCTCGATAAGCTCTTTGTTCTTGTTCTTCACCATCTTTTACCTACGGAATAAGAAGAAAAAAAGAAAGAAAGAATGACAACGACTACTCGCGTATTATCTATCTTAATCTTGACATGTATATGTTTACAGAATAACGGTTCGTTTCTTTTTTTTCTCCTTCTTCTTCTTCATCTTCTTTCAATTGATATCTACAAAATATTTGTTGGTATAGATAACGAAAAAAAAGCGAAAGAAAAGACTAAATTAAAAATCTTTCTCATCGATGATCTCTTTTATGTATGGGTTAACTATTGTATGTACATATATCTAAATAGCGTGACAGATAGGACAGAAGAACAAATCATTTGTTCTCTCGGTTGTTTTTTTCACACACACACATTCGCCGTGACGCGAGACGTACGCATGAAAATTAGGATAATGGCAATTTTGATTATCATCGTCCAACTATTACTACTCATATATATATATATATATATATATCGCGTGTGAGATGTATAACAAGAAGAAAAATAATTTTCTTACTTAAACGACAAATGTAACAATGTTCGTGTCTTGCCAACGGCCAAAAACGACGGTGAAGTTCGACATCTAGAGCGATAAGCTATCATTAATCTTTGATAGAGTGAGTAGACGAACGAGTAGCATAAGAAATATGCAGGTGAAGGAAAGAAAGACCAAGCATACGTGCACCTGTCCTTCTCCTGTTGTCACCATTCTTTATATATCGTTATCCAGTTACACAAAGAGTTGGATTAACGCTACTACTACCCTCTCGGTGACCTGATCAATGAACATATTCAAACAAAAAAAAAATGAGTGTGTATTATCGCCTCTTCTGGCAAGACATACAATTTAAGTTGATGGAGATGAAGAACAGAGGGAGAGAGAGAGAGAAAGAAGAAATGGATTTCGGGTAGTGATGGCGGCGGCGCGCTTATGTCAAACATACATACATACACAAATCACAATCAATTCTAATACACATCGTGCGTCAAACCCCCTCCTCTCTCGAGCCGAGCGGTAATCACTTTTTTCCTCTCTGTCTCTAAGTAGAAGCAGTAGTAGCAGCAGCCACCGAAGCGTCATGTTCACTATAAAATTCATTCTCGTTCGTCTATCGAGCCGCTTTTTCCCTTACCTACCTTCGTCATCTTTATGCTAATCGTCCATTTTTGATAAGATGCCATGCCCATTGTCGTCTCGCTACTTTTTATGTTCTTTCTCCTTTTCTTTTTGTCCCGGAGTTAATCTAAGATAGAGTTGAGTACTACTGATTTCTCTCTCTAGCATCACCATCATCATCATCATCATCATCATCATCTTGATTTACGAACGAACAACATACAAGAATAGATTGCTATAGTTGAACTATTGTCGACAAGGTAGATTATACAGAAATACAGACGGCAACAGTGCCGGTAGTAATCAAAAGACAGAACGAAAAAAAAACGGGTAGAAGAAGAAGAATTTAATTGAGCTTTCGCTCATCGACTGCTAAGCAAGCGCATTTGGCTTGTGATAAGCCTAAGCCGATATACTATGCATTATCGAGGCAAAAAAATATTGAGAGGAAAAAAAGGCAAGAAGAATTTCCGAGTTGAGATTAGGGAACTGAGCATATATATGTTGTCAGATTGAAGCAGTTCGCTTTTTTTT